TCGGGTTAACCGCTGGAGGCCCTGATTGCTTTTTTTGTCGTACATGTTTAAACGATTAGTTACCTTTATACAGTTTTAAAGCCTTTTGGGCAGGTACTCAGTTACTTTCCGATTTTAAAAGTGAGTTTTCCACGTTGTTGAGGAGGAAGCCATTTTATTGTTGTACTTACGGTTGTCTTAGCTCGTTGTCGTAGTATCAGACCATCTTTAATTTGTGTCGTTTCATAGGTAAGTTGAGCATGATCGTCCGCGTGAACCTAGTCCTGAATAGAATTTGTTGACAGTGACTGACGTTTCGACAACCTGCGCGGTAGTCATCTTCAAAGTCTTGTGTCGTTCACGTTTTGTCGCTATTTCATCTCTCAGTCAATTCCAGATGCGCCCATGAGCTCCCATGTCAAGGGGATACTTCAGCTGTCATGAAATCAGCCCAATGGCTGATTGGGGATAAAATAAGAGGAAAAATGCCCCGGAGTCAATCAACTCTCGGTAGCCGTTTGCAGCAAGTTTAATGAACAATTTTTTTGTTTCTGTACGTCTACTTGATTCACGTCGATACATGATTACAGTAGTCTCGTTAAAAAATTTAATTAACATTAAGAAGTCTGCTCTGAATATTTTAACATAGAAAACGAAGAACCCCATAAACATGTTTAGAATTCAGTAATTGACGATGATAAAATGGAATCTATACGACCAAGAGTTTAAAAAGGGGCTTTTATCCTCTCTTGATACGACTAAATTCATTCAAATCCTGATGAACAGAAATTTGATTCAATATTAAACCAAAAAAAAAAAAACGTCTATTCACGTTCGTAGCTCCTGACTTTACTTGTAAAGCTATGTGCAAACGGACGCAACAACTCCCAACATTGTTGGGCCAGCAATGTTGGGAGTTGTTGCGTCCGTTTGCACGCGGCTAAACGTTTGATCGGTTTCAAACTTTGAGAAACAACTCGTGCAAACGGACGCAACATGTAACATTCACCAATGTTGGGAGTTGTTGGCCAATGATGTTGCGTCCGTTTGCCCTGGGCCTAAGTTCTGGCTTCATAAGGAACTAAGAAATTTGTAAAATGGTGGAAACACCTTCAAAAACCTCCAAAAGTTTTCCATTCCTTGAAAGATACATACATATATACATGCTTTATTCAACACTTCCCCTTTGGGGCTTTTCAGCGTCAATTATGTAAATGAAATCAAACATATAAAATTACAAATTATTTAAAATATCATTCCCTCCCATATATAACAGCTCCCTCTTAAACCCAACTCCCTTACAGTTTCTCTGAAATTATTAATTATGTCAGGAGCCCATCAAATTCTGATGGGCTCCTGATTATGTTTATAACTCTCCCTCTTATGGGAGCAGAATCGGCCAATCTGCTTGCGTTTCCAGTAAAATTCTCCATGTTTCACGAGACGTAACATTGTTGGCCCTGGGCTTGGCAAATGACAGACCTCGGGGCGCAAAAAATTTGCTTACACCACTCCCCTGGTACTGAAAGGGTGCGCAAGGGAATGGACGCCGCTATGTCGCTTTCCGAGGACACTGAAAAGAGTTGTACATGAAGCATGAACACAACAGCGGTGTAGAAAATTGCATCACCGGGAAGGAAACAACAGATGAAAAAAGAATAATTTGCCTTTTTTGGGGGTGAAAAACAAAAGATGGGAAAGAATCGCAAGAAAGGTAATGAAGATTGCTTTATATTGTGAACACAATGATCGCCGATTTACGAGCTCCCGTGAGTAATGATCTGTCGTAAGTTAGAATGAAACTTTTGAAAAATGTTCGTGCATATCAAGCATCCATGAAACTTTTTATGCTCTTTTATTTTAATCACGCGTTTTAACCGGGATTTATTGTAGCTATAGCCTTCCTGTCTTGTTATTGACGCGCTGCACGTGGCCTATATACACTTACTATAATTCAGTTCTTTGTCAGAGTCACACTTTCAACCATTCGATCTTGCTTGAGGCTTAACTAGAACCACTACGTGGAACTTACCGGGGCCCAGTGGGACACGGGATTGCATAGTTTACCTCTCGCACCACTCCCCCCTCCTCTGTGGAGGCTAATACTTAGTCTGAATTAACTCATGCAGAAGAAAAGCAACAAAATGCATGAGAAAGGAGGATGTTGTTATAACGGTCTGTGTTATAGTACTGTTTTTACACTGTGATGTCAATAAGTGTGATCTGTATAAGGTTTTTATTTGCTTTTAAGTTTGAGTGAAAGAGCAAAAATCACTGACAGT